TAAATGTATTCTCGTCAGTCTCGGTTAAGGTTTCGGCCGAAACAGAGAGCAAGGCCGAAAGTACGGTTTCGGTTTCGGCTGAAAACACGTTCGGTCGAAATGTAATGAATATACATTTGCTCTCGCACTTTATTCAATTAACGCCCGGGCGACCTAGCAGCGCGCTGGAATTTGAAAAATAAAATGTGTCATCGAAAACGAAATTACCAAAATTCGATATAAACCTTCAGATATCGAAATTTTTTAAAAATTAAATTCTTCATAGATAAATGATTTCAATCGCTTTAGACATTAAAATATAAATATATAAACGATATAGAAGATTTTTAAGTAAAACAGATCGAAAGCTATCTCTGCAACTCCGAAAACTAAAATAAAAGCTATTGTGCTAGGAAATTAGGGCAGGGGACAATTCTCTATAGAGGCAACGGCCGGTGTATTATGCGGTGGTCGACCGCAGCTCAACCCTAACATATTCTATAGAACTGTTCCATTTTTAGTTACAACTATAACTCGTAATAAACTACAGTATTGGTTAACCTACAAAATAAAATAACTTATCACTTACGAAGCAGGGAGCACACGAAAGAGCACTAATTTGATCGTATTTCCTAGCATTTTACTCCTTATAGGTATGTAAACTTTACATACATGTTAGTCCTGGTATACGGAGTTAAACACAAACCATACGCTTCCTCTTAAATAATAGAGAAACACCCATTATGACATTTAATACTCGTATACTTACTCTATCTTTAGCTGTTTTTCAGTATGCCATCTCTTGGTATTAAAAGGATTTAGTCGATTTTAAAATTAATTTTTCCATTGTTTTTTGTATGCTTATAAGATTTCTTATAAAAGCCAACAAGTAATATAATAATTACTATATGTAATTAAATTAAAATAATATATTATAATTACAGAGCGTTCGAGATAGGTAAATAAAGTGGTAGTACAAACTTACAAGAAGTTAAATATTTTATACTATAAAAAGGACGATGGCAATCATCAATTAATTGAATTAAATAAATCAACATACGTTAACGCCACTAATTGTAATTACACCGTACGCTTTGATTATTTGTTATCATGGTCGGTGCTATGCGCGTCATTATTTTTTTCAATGACCTCCTGAAGTGACAAGTTTGTTATTCTCGCGGTGCGAGTTACTAAATTATTGCCCTCAAGGTCGCAACTCAATGCACGCTGACATAGACGTACAGTTTTGCGCGAGAAAAACTTTCTCGCGCCCGCTGAACACTTACTCACTTTTGTTGTTGTTCGACTCTGCAGCCTATTATGTGAAATTATGTCACAGCTGTAAAGCATAAACAAGAATCTATGGCGCCATCTGTGATTCTATTTTTGCGATAATAAACACGTGGGGCCTGCAGGCGTGCTCATCACGTGCTATCGCAAGAACTGTTTTACCGACGCGGCCTACGACAGCCAATCAAAACGCGCGTTGCTATGTTGACCATACCATTTCTCGCCAATCGAGGCTATGCACACTCTGCATTCAAAGTGTACGTGTGATCATTGCAAACTTTTATAGTGATTTTATTGCAACATATAATACGTTTTATTTTGGTGTGATATTGTTGTTAAATGTGCTAATATTTTTTCAATTTCGTTTTTGGCCATGAAACGCAACGGTGAGTTTATTTTTAATAATTTTAACAATAATCTGTCTGAGAACATCAACGCCATCTCTTTTTGCAATACTTGATAAACTTCAAGATGGTTTGATGTAGTACGATGAACTGGAACTAGATGGCGTTGTAAATAATTTTTCAATTTATAAATTGCTTCTGCATTCACTATCTTTACTTTATACTCTATAGCCGCCAATCAAAGACAAATTATAATGTTTGTGACGAGACACAGTGAAATAACATTTTTCACTGTAACTTTTTCTATAGGGTACTATATCAGTTGTCATGTTTAGCACGCTGCTTCAAGTCCGTATATAGACAGTCCGCTCCGTGACAGGTAATAAGACATTTTAAAAAATTGCTATAAGCTCCCTCTGTCGTTGAATAGTTGTATTATAAAATAAAATTATGATTTTTTATAATTTATTTATTAATTAATTATGTAATTTAAAAAAAAAACATGTATCTTACACACACTAACCACATATAGGATTGATTTGTCTTATCCTATTTGAATTATCAATATCTAGCATAAATGTAAAGTTTTAAGTCGCCATATATATTTTTTCATGACATCTATTGGCGAAATTTAAATACTTATCTATATGTGGTTTTGTCAATGAGACAACAGATGGTGTTAGTGATTTTTTTATTTGTAAAAAATGTTTCAAGCAAGTGCTGCTTGTATCACCTCTATTTGAAAATCTCTTTAGCTCATATACCTAATTCAAATAATCTTTGCTTTGCTAAATATCATAATAGCAGCTCATATATTGTGGAATTATTTACTAGGACTGGCAGTCAGCAGAATTTGAGTACAACTATATACTTTTTCAAACATCTGCAGATTTTTAACGAATACTATAAACCATTCCAATATAGCTCTAACGATAAGGTTTAGGTTAAGGTGTACAATACTCCAACGGCCGAATTCGAACCCACGACCACGTAATTGAATGTCCGTATTATGTAATCAATATAACTACAAAATAGAAAAATAAATCAATTATTCTTTATTTTGATTCGAAGCCAAAGTTTACTAAGAATAGGAATGTCGAATTCCAGATATTGAAATTTTATAGTTTCAGTTACTTTATAAAAAATGTAAGACTAAAGGGTTCTATGTTTTAGAAAATACTTATTTTATCCTAATGTATCAGCTTCTAAACTAAACACACACATCAATAATTGTATTTATTATATCCTTTCCGTACTCACTTCCGCTAAACCCACACATTTCCTCATAAGAAAACAAAGGAAGGTGAATGAGTAGACATACCACATACATACACTTAATAGTGGCAGTGCCCGTTTTAACAACTTCGCACGAATGGGCCGGCACGCCCTTTTCTTATGAGAGGATGGGAAGGGAAAGTGGATTTGACGATGGAGGAGATGCATAGGAAGGGGAAATATCCTCTTTATGTGCGTCTCCTCCTACGTCGGATAAGGGTAGTTATCGCACCTGCTATTGCGGATGTCTACGGGTAGCGGTCGCTTCGCCATTTTAGCGGATTCAGGTGGCCGCTTGCTCATTTGCCACCTTATGTTATATAAAAAAAAAACGCACATTAATTAGATGAAACGCGGAATGACATCCCATTGTAGCCTGTTCAACATATTATCGCATTTCACCGTTCGAGCTTGCATTTAAGCTCTTAAGGTTTTTTAAAGCTTTACTACTGTTTTTATCTAAGACTCAGAGTCCTTTAAGAAGCGAAGACTTTTCTCAAATGCATCTGCAATTCCTCTATTATTGCGGAAGCATCGACGAACACGGTATTCACGCTGTGAACTTGCCTTCTTCTCTTTCAAAAATCAAAATTATATAAGTAATATCGTTCCTGTATCGCAAGTTTATAATTAAACATTTTCAACGTGAGCACGTTGCGCGCCATGCCTCCTATAACTTTTGACTTTTTTTATTTTTGGCATTCAATAGCATTTTCATACTTTTATTGACCAAATTAAACACGTTTGATTACAGTTGGCATGTTATTTTTATATAATCATTACTGTTATTACAGAGCGTTGGTCGCTCAGTGGTTTAAGCACTTGACTTGTATTCTATAGGTCTTGGGATCGTATCCCGCCTTATGTGAAGTGAACGAACCCGCAGTGGGCCAGCGTTGTTGACTATGGCCTAGTCACCCTAACTTAGGTTAGGCTCCGAGGCCTTTGGTGGGGTCGTATAGTGAGCTAGTGATTAGAAATTTCTGTCATTTTCTAATGTTATTTCTATAACTATCGTCCTTTTGGTAAATTGCTCTGAAAAATATGAGTCTCCTTCGTCGATTAAGGTTCAGCAACGCATCTGTAATTGTGGATGTCTATGGGCAGTGGCCACTCCACTATCGGCAGATGCATGGGGCTGCTTGCGCGTTTGCCCTCTTATTAAATAAAAAAAATATCCGACTTTTTTTCACCACTGAGTCAGGTAATAAAAATATCTCTTAAAAGGGAGTTACTGGAATCATATAATATACGTTTTTACAAGACGCTTATTTGTTGAATAAAACCGTTTCGCTCTTACGACACGCTAGGTTGGAAAATCGGAAAATTCTGAACTCATAAACATTCTTACATCATGTTATTTTTTCAACGCCCTAGATAGATGTCTCACAGGATATTTTTAACTTTGAGAATAATGCCTTTGATATACAAATAAATAGCAGACAACTTCTATTTTTACGCGTTTTATTTCTATTGCTGGGTCTTCAATCTTTTATCGATTATTTTGTTACATCATTGTTTTATAAGGCCGGGAATGTATATGCCAGTGGCACACTTGCCCTATAATGGAACGTACCAGCTACAACATGCGCTAACTTGCACGCCAGTACCTGGAAGAGCGTTTAAAATTGTCCTTGCCGGCAAGATGACATTCAAGTGTGCCAGCTAATTGCATATGTTTTCTTTGACTTGATTTATTCAATTTCTTTTGCATATAATAGTTGTTTCAAGTTTTTTCTCTTTTAGTTACTATTGTATTTTATTTCGCATTGTTTTTCTTTACATATGTCTTATGACCGTGAATTTTCACTGCGGTTACATCTGCATGAAACGTATTGTTATCTCTGTTCTTTTTAATAAAAAGAGAGTATGACAATGTTTTTATGTTAAAACTGTTAAGAAAAAGTCGATGTAATTAACACTGACATACGAATACATGCTCATCCTGAAAAAGCAACCGATTAAACTATTAGGCTATTAGTGTACGGGATCTTTTAAATTTAAAAAACTAATATTCACGGTCATTAAGACGTCAATGATTGATCTGTTATCGTTTTTTTTTTGGTTTTTCGCTTTTTTTCTTTTTTTATCTTATCTTATAATTGTCCACAGATTTCCTGAGTAACGGGGCGAGCTTCAATAAGAAATACGGTTAGTATACATTGTTAGATGTGTATATGTAAATTTTCTCTTTAATCTTTGATACAGAAACAGTAAATGTTACAAATATTAGGTGCTTAATAAACAATTATACTTGTAACTTAATTGACCTGACAAAAGTTCTGTAATGATATTATTCACAATCAAGGGCGGATCCATCTTTGGCGCCAGGGGAGGGGGTCACATAGTTGTGGTCAAGTCAAGAGATTGACAAAATATGTTATTACATTTTGTCAAACTTTTCACCAACCAGCTCAGGGGGTGTCATGGTCTATGACCCCCCCTAGATCCGCCCTTGTTCACTATCAGTACAACTAATAACAATGAAGCGTCTGAAAGGCATAATAAAAGTTTTGATAATTGTTTCTTTCTTATTACATAATGGTACAAAATGTTTCATAATGCTGTATAACTCGATTTCATTACTCGGTATAGCAATCGCGGGCTCTCCCGGGAACCTAATTTTTAAGAATCATTTATTGACGTAAACTTACGGCTAAAGGGAAACTTAAATAATGTATTACGCCGTGCGTCTTAATTATCGCAATACAATAAATACGCGGAACGTATAATAAGGTACAAACTTTAGCTCGGCTCGAGGCTCGTAGTAGTTTTTGTTTGCTCAGGCACTAGATGGTTGGCCCAACATACGCGTCAGGAAAAGCGAGCTTAAAGTATCACCGATCTCGCATTACTTGACATTTTGCCGATACTTATAGTAAGGGAACCTATCTTGGTATTTATAGAGTAAATCACACGATCAAGCGTAACTTTTGAACATAAGAGCCTCGACCGCATCCTCTCCCTCTGTTCAGAGATGAATTAAATATAGCCTTGCAGGCTAGGATTAGGCAACCCGGTTACAACATGTTTAAAAACATATGCTCTTTCATATAATGTAGGTTTTATCAGGAAATCTCATGAGGGTAAATCATCACAAGTGATGTATCTTTACCTATACTATAGTGTTCTGCGTAGCTTCTCTTGCAAAATTGGGAGCGGTCGTAAAGTATCAGTGATTAATGCTTAATTATATATTTGCAAACAAGGATAATTACAATAATCCTTTAATAAGAGAAAGGATTAGTTTCATTGCTTTACTACAACTGTTACGTACAGTTCTTATAATCTTACTTAACAAGATTTCCAACTAGAAGGAGTTTTGCAACTAGTTTTGGTAACGTTCGTAATGTTTGGAGTGATTCGTTAAACAATAATTACAAGCTTCTTAACTAAGCAACTATTCTTATATAACTATGTAATGAAAAGCTTGGAATTTCACAATATTATTTGCTCTTATATATTCATACTTAGGTCAACAATGAATTGGTATACGTAACTAACAATTAGACAATCTACTATATTACCCCAAAAATACAGTTACACACTTTGTGACGCAAATGATTGGGAAATATCCTCTTTATCTGCGTATCCTCCGTCGATTAAAGGTATGCAACGCAATCTGCAATTGAGATTGTCTATGCAGCAGTCGCTTCGCCATTTCGGCGGATTCAGATGGCCGCTTGCACGTTTGCCACCTTATGATATTTAAAAGCATAGCTTTCTCAAAATAGAAGAAAATGTGTTTTTACCCTGTTGATTGAGGAGGATAATGTAACATATTTCTTACGTATGTTTTCATTCTATCGTGACCTTCTGTGGCTTCGATTAACAATATGTTTTCTCGAAGCTTAAACAACTAAACCGATTTTAATGAGAGAATTGTCATTCTTTTTGTATTCTTTACAGTGGTATTCAGAGTGTGAGCGCCGCTTACGAAACTGAGTATTTAAAGTTGGTTTTAGTATTTTCCCTTAAGTGGCATAGGAGTCCATTTTCTTTGATTTTTTTCGTAGTTAACAAATATACAGTTTTTAAATAAATACCAGTCAGCAAGTAACTTCCAATCTCTACAGCGATCACCGTTTTACAATGAGTATTTATGGAGTGGTCTACGCCGTAGTCGCGTAGATTCATTTTTCAGTTGTCGGTCGGGAGTTGTGAAATGCTACGTTTTTATCTAACAAAGTTTTATGTCGAAGTTAGTATAAATTAGGAAAGATTATGATTGCCGGAGAAGTATTTGTTTATCTATGTACTTCACATTTTAAACATAATGCATACACATATATTTTAATTTATATATGTACCTTAGGTTTTCTGTTGCTCATGGTACTTTTCTTAACATATTTTTGGTTTATAATGTAGTGAATGTTTACTAGTTACATTTGTTAATTAAAATTAAACTCTCAGTTTAGACTTCAGCGTTATTGTCTGAATTAAAAAATAGACTATGCCTAACAAGAAATCATTGGCTTAGATCACTAAATAGGCACTATTGCGTACTTTATTTCTAAGAAGTTAGTAATTCGTAAACTAATGGAACTTTAATAATTAAATAATTCTAATCGCATTTGTATTAGACCGTGTGTAAAGTTGCTGCCCATTACTTCGATCTGCATATTAGCAATTCATTAAAGAAATAATGTTGTAAATATGATGTCCTAAATATATAGAAGTCAGTTATCGGTAGTGAACATCGATGAAGAAGTTATTGGAAGGGTTGGTACGGTTCTTCTGGTAGTCGGCTCGAGGATGTCGAAGCGAGACAGGCTCTACGATGGGCGAGGGGCGAGGGACGTGGGGCGGCGGGCGGCGAGGGGCGGTGCGGCTGCGCACGTGGCCGGCGGTGTGCAAGCAGCGCGCGGACTTGCGGCCTTCTCACGTGGCGACGAGTGTGCGATGCTTCGAGCTCTCGATCGGTTGCTCCCTCAATCCCGCTCTGAGAGTCTCCGGGAACGGTTGTGTTTGATCCGTCAAGATTGAGTCTTGTCCCGCGTACGTGGGCGATGCGATCGCCCGCAGCTGGTCATCGCACCGTCTTGACCGCCACGGATACATCGATATGGGCACCGACTCCTCGCGCGCTCCGAGCTGGACGCCCTGCGAGCTGGCGCCGCCGGAATACTACTTTCCGACGCCGCCTGCGCCGATGCCTTTGGTGGCCTGCCGCGTACCTTCGCTATCCAGCCCCGAAGGTACGCCACTCTAAACACCCCACACTTTATGAATTCTTTTGCAGTTTATCGAATAAAAATTGACGACAAAACAAGCTCTTTATATTTGTGCTGGAACGGAAATATATTTAAATCGTGCGGGATGCTACGAACCTTTCCGCTATTTAATAAAGGTTCTTAGAGAATGTGTTTATTTTGTTTGTGCCTCATTGGAACTTTACTTTTTTAATTGATTCTACTAAAAACAATGATTGAGAACTGTAAGTCAATATGCTTTATTATTTATTGAGAAGTACTCAAATGTCTTGAATCTTAAATTCGATTAAGAAGCTTATCTCGCGCGTCGTAAACAACACAAACTGAATCAACAGATGAGGTTTCAGAAATAGTTGTGATGGAGACACGTGCCGCCACCGCGGCCACTGAGCTCGGAAGCCATTGAAACCATATCGCGGCATTGTTGCAAGGTCGCTAAGATAAAAAAAAAAACAATCACTACTATAGTTTTGCATTGAACAATCAATAGGAAACGTACATTAGATACAAGATATATCATCCCCGTAGGTGGAAAACTAAATAACTACCATTTTAGCCGAATGACGATTTCGTTGTTTTATTTTGAATTTCAAACATTTTAGTTTTATTTTTAAAGTTGTTACAATTTGAAGTTGTTAGAAAATTTTCAAAATGTCAAAAGTAATATCATAACTCGAAAACTATGTAAAATCGCGGAACATACCTAAGGGTGCTCGATCTCTGTACCTCAGCTTGACACTACTTTCTGTGACACCCTGTATTACGATATTTGTGTTCCTGGCGGAAAAATAATTGATTCAAACTATGAAACTAAAAGAAAAATACTTAATTGATTAAAAAAAAATGACAATTGAAGTATAGTAACTTTTAAGTCACGAATCAACATTGACTGACACCGACATCAAAGTAATAATAATTGTACAATATAGATATAACAACTACAATAAGGGAGGTTTACTATTTTCATGGGATTATTTCTTTACTTTTTAGTATATTGTTATTTTGAGAATATTTTGTTTTTAGGGTTTTTTGTTTAGAAGTCGGTTTTGTTATTTTATTTAAAAAAAAAACATTTATTTCTCGATGTTAGTGAATCTAAACATCGCAGTATGATAATCGCTAGCTTTCAAACAAAGAATGAGTTATTTAATTCGGTTATCTAAGAAATTAAGCAAAAAATTAATACATCGTTGTGATCATTCACTCATAATTCTGTGCGGCCGCGCTCTGCTGTTGCCCGTAAGTTTTAATATTTTGATAACTTCTAGAATCTTGGTCAGAATTACATATTGCAAAAGGCAATTATGATCTACCAAAGGATTCATACCAAATAAGAATAAAAGCGTTTAAATGAAGTTGGTTGCATTTATTTGACGGTTTTCACAAAACAAACGGTTATTTTGCGACACCCATAAAAGATAGATATATGCTATCCCGGACTTTAATTTAGCTAATGAAATGAGATACAATTCTTCCATACATCATTTATATGTAGGTCTTATAGTTTAAGCTACGTATATACGTTTACAATCATCACAATATATTTGCAATTTACATTAAATTCTCTTGATGATAGACATATTTATTTGGATAAAGATTCATACTGAGCACAAGTAATAGTGTTGTAAGTGGGGTATAGATTTCGATCGATATTTTAATGAAAGAAGTGGTTATTGTGCGACAACCTTAATAGATAAATATATGCTATCGCGAACATTAAATTAGCAAATTTAAAGGGTTACAATTTTTCGATACATCATTTTTATGTAAGACTTATAGTTTGGGCTACGTAAGCAAAAAAAGAAAAAAGACCCCAAATTTCGTCACGTTTTTTGAGTTAAGTTATTTAACTACGTCGTAGTCTTTGACTCCAAAAATCAAACAATAAAATGAGACCCACCTGTAAGCATTACCTTTCGGTTATAAAAAGAATTATCA